TTGTACAATATAGACATAACAGTTACAATAAGGTAGGTTTACTATTTTCAAGGAATTATTTCGTTACTTTTTAGTGTACTGTTTTTTTTTAAGAATATTTTGTTTGGAAGTCGGTTTTATTTTTTTTCTTGCAATAAGTGAAGAAAGGAAGAAATAATTCGTTGCTTAGCGGGCTAACTTAACGCGAATGAGGATATAATTTGTATCAATGTCTCACGTCATTTTAAATTGCTATCTTGAGAGCGAAATTAGGAAGGTCTTTATTTTGTCAAATTGAATTTAACAACATGACAATACGTATGTATGACTTAATACAATTGTCACTGCAGTCGAAGGTCACTATAAGAATACAAAAAGTAACGACTGTGTTGAATAAAACATGCTATATTTCGTAGCGACGTAGCACACCTGATAGACGGTGCATGCTACGATTGTAGATAAGCCTCGTAGACCCTTTTGAAAGTGCAAACGTAACCGGTTTAGTGGAAGTTAATCTTTGAAATAGTTATCAGATTACAGGAAAGATTTTAGTTAAAGAATTCTATTCTTTTCAATGTCGAATCTGGTATAAATTCGTACGAATGTAACGAGGGAACATTAGTGGGTTTAACACGATCTGCGAACACGAATTTGAAAAAAATTACATGTTATTTGTTAGTTGTTAGAGTACTTTGTGCCCGATACTTGTACTGAAAAAATGCAATTCAAATGTCAATGACGTAACGTATATGTCTCTACTATTTATATCCTATTTTTAAGCAAAAACTATTGTAGTAAATAATATCAGGTGTAAGATATGTCATCGAAATTAAATCTTACATTTAATTATTTATTCATTCGATAGATCTCGGGAAAGAAAATGTCCAGTTCCCGAGGGATACGTAGCTTTTTGTTATTTACATAGTTCGTATGTTTTCTAATACCACGCATACGAAGTCGCGGGCAACAGCTAGTAGTGATATAATGTTTATTCCAAATTACATAATGTATGTTATTATCGTTTTCACTCTATATTTAAAAACGAAGTTTTCATATTGATAACAAATAGTCAATTGACATGAACAGTGTAATTACAAATAAACAAACATGTAAGCCCCTGGGGTTGTCAACATAGTTTTTTTACTATGTTTTAATGAAACATTCACAATCAAAGCGATACAATCATGGATAACAAAATAATAACCAGAACAGAATAATTTGTTAATAAAATGGTAGTGTTTGTATGAATAGCATGGTATGGGCATGTTATTAGGAGGGATGAATCGCATGTTACAAGGAGGACGTTACTTATGAGTGTGGGAGGGTGTACCCTAGGTAAGGCGAGGTAGAGGTTAGGACGCTATTTACTTAAACTGTTCAGTTCAACTGCAGTTATTTTTTTCTTATACACGCTCATACTATTAGAACTACGTACATAACCAGCTTTAATCCCTAAGAGGTTAAGTTGGAAAAATTAACAGGTAAATAAAGAATATCACCACAGGCCGTGTATTCTGGTTAATGCAAAACCACATCAGTGAACGAGATAGAATTATTTGCGCCCAAATTTATTTAGACTTTACAACGTGATTTGTAGTTGTGGAATAATTCCCGAAATAGTTATAACAAATGGTTTATAGTTAAGATTTGTGTGTAAGAATAGTAGAATAATAGAATTTGCTTTTTGCCCGCGACATCGGCGCAGAATTTCAAAAGACAGTAAGTAGTCTATGAGTTCTTCTAGACTCTGTCCTACTCGTACATCAGTGTTAAATTTCATTGAAATCTGTTAAGCTTTGTAGATACGTAGTAACAAACACCCATCCATCCAAAATTTCGATATTTTAATATTAATAGTGAAGTATTATAGTGTTTTTCGTATACACACAAAAATTAAAAACCTTCAACTTTTGTTCGTATAAAATATTAATTTTTCATTTTCAGCATAGAACAATGTATTACATTAGTATCGAAATTCGGTAAGCGTCCTTTGTCTAGTTAAAAAGAATCTCTAAGTCCGTTGTATTGTTTACTATAGTAACTTTGTTTTGTGTTTCTTGTTCTTGGTCGGTTATTTTATAAAGGTTGCTTTTCAAACATTTCTATAAAAAAAATATAATTACATTTTTTGTGAACTTGAGAGGCTTCTAATCCTATTAAAGGATGTATAAATAGAGATTCTGGAATATAATTAATTGTTGA